TGTGGGACAATGGTATTGTATCCTGTAAAAATTTGTCACTTGTATTTGTTTAATAAAATGCTGATTGGCCAGTAGCTAGACAGGAAGTATAGGTGGGATGACCAAAATAGGAAAATTCTGGGAGGAGGAAAGGCTCAGTCTGCAGTAGTCACCCAGAGGCAAAGGAAGCAAGATGAGAATGCCTCACTGATAAAATGTAGCAAACCATGTGGCTAACACAGACAAGAATTATGGGCTAATTAAAGATGTAAGACTTAGTTAATAAGATGCCTCAGCTACTAGGCCAACCAGTTATAATTAACGTGGGCCTCTGTGTGTTTCTTTGGGACCGGGCGGGACAGAAACCTCTGTCAACATAGCATCTTGTGGGTAGAGGCCAGAAATACCACTAAACATCTACAATGAACAAGGCAGGTTCCCACAGCAAATCATTCAGCAATGTGCGCAAACCAAGAGACCCTGGACTGCAATGAACTACACAAATGACACTGTACAGCTAACACCAAAACATGTTTTATAAATCTGTATTCAACTGTGTGCTTTTGGTCCAAGCTATCCAAAGTACAATTCACAGCAACTGTTAGTGAAGCCACAGCTACGCCGTATCTTTCTTTGCAGGTGTTTGCATGCTGGGGTTATAGGAACCTCTGAGTTGCCTGATGTGGGTACTAAGATCTGAACTCAGGTCCTTATAGAAGAGCAAGAGCTTTCCTCCAGCCCACACACCCCTCTCTCACCCTCATACTTAAAATCTATAGTAAGAATATCTTCTACAAATTAAGTTTAGAACACCTTTTAATAATTATATTAAGAATATCTTCTAGTAAGATCTAACTCTTTAAAAAAAAAATATCAAATTCATGAAGCCACTATAAACTTGCTCTGTGTCTGTCCAAGTCGCTCCTTCAGGAGGACAGGCTTATGGTGGAGTGAGAATGTCAAGCCTGGGATTTTGAGATTCTGGAAGTATTCCCCCCAATCACTCTATATGAAGAAATGTAACTGCCTCAAGTCCTGAAGTCACTCCTGTCTCTCTGCCAAAATCACCTTTCTTACCTACAATTTCCGAGCTGCAGGCAGTACTGTGTACAAAGCATATGCAGGCCCAGAGAAGGGAGTGAGCAAGACAGAAACCCAAGAACTATTTCCTGATCAGCTCTATAACATACCCAACACCCATCTTATTTCAATATTATAAGAAAATTTATCTTTAGAATCCATCATAAAGCCAGAGGTCAAGCCCACTCTTTTGTTGTAAAATTACCACTAGTCCACATATCAGATACATAATTTTGATCTCAAAAGGGTCTGCTGCCTCTCTTCTTTCCAGACTTTGCTCCTTACCACCCTTCCCCCACAGAGAAAGGAAAGGGTCTGTGACTTACAATTCTGTCTGGCCCATAGATCTTTTCCAGTTGTTCAGCAACTTCTCTTGTCCCATCTGGGCTTCCATCATCTATGATTATAATTTCATAGTTGATCGCACTAAAATAAAATTTAAATTTATATTAATGTTGGGTGATAATCTCTCCAATTTTTAAGTAATTTAAGTTGAAAGTCAGGAGAGTCAGGATATTCAAGGTCATTTCAGCTCTAGTGATTTTCACAGACAGCCTGCAATACCAGAGATCCTATTTCAAAATAAACAAAGCAAAACAATACTAGTATGCAAATTTACATTAAAAAACCCTGGAATTTATCTGACTTAATTTCACATTTATTTATTTATTTATTTATTTAGTTTTTCAAGATAGGGCTTCTTTGTGTAGCCCTGGCTGTCCTGGACTAGGCTGTCCACCTGCCTCTGCCTCCAGAGTGCTGGAATTAAATGTATGAGCCACCACTGAATGGCTATTTCACTCTTAAATTTACTTTCCATTATATTCACAGAATATTTTCTACTCTAAAAACCAATAAACATTTGTTGTCTGGAGGATGAATCCCACCTGATGTACACATAATCACCATTACCCACCCACACCCTTTTATAAGGCATAAAGGGGAAGGAAAAGGAAGCAACACCTTCCTCTTGCCCATTTGGTTGGAAATCAACCAGGAAACAACAGACTGTTAAAGGTTGTGAAAGTTAGCTCTGGCAAACTTGGCAGGAAAGAAACAAAACCTCAAAGTCAAGAACAGGTACAACAGGGACTGCGGAGATAGCTTGGTGGGTAACAGTACTTGTTATACAAGCAACAGGACCTGAATTTGAATCCCCAGCAGCTACAAGAATGGGTATAACTAAGCATTCCTGTAACTCCAGCACTGGAGGTGGGTAGGAGGTTGAAACCCCCCAAATAAGAAAAGTTCTAAACCAAGAGAGACCCTGTTTCAAACAATTAAAAGTGGAGATTGAAAGAGAAAGGCAGCAGGTGTTCTCTGCTAGCCTGTGTACACACCCAGCCCACAACACACACAAGAGTAGGGACCCTGACCACAACAAAAAAGATGTTGATTTTGGAAAAAGGTTTGTCACAAAGTGAAGCCTTTTTTTGTTTGTTTTTCTGGTTTCTCTGTAAAGCTTTGGAACCTATCCTGGAAACCAGGCTGGCCTGGAATTCAGAGATCCACATGCCTCTGCCTTGATGCCACCAATGCCGTTTTCTGTTTGTCTGGAGTGCTGTGATAAAGCGTGCCCACCACTGTCTGTTGTGAAGGCATTCTTAAGCAAAATTCCTCCCTTCCTGATTTCAAACAAGCCAGAGGGTCAGGTAAATGAAAAAACCAGAACTACATCTGAGATGTAGCTATTCCTATTAAACCTTATTTTGATTCCAGAACATCCACTTCATTGGCAAAGTTCCATTCTCTAGCACAATTGACTCCCAAACCACAAAAAAAAAGATACCCCAGAACTTCAGAAGCTGAGGCATTCCAGCCCAGACCTAGGTTACAATATAATGAAAGGAAGCAGGGAACTGGAGTGGGAAGGTACAGAGTGTTGGACTCATAAATTAAACAGGGCAAAAATACCGTAAAACCAGCATACAAAGTCAAAGCATATTAAAATGTTTCGGTTAAATTCTCTAATTTGGAAAAAGCTGGCAGAACCAATTTAAAAAATAAAACCTAACAAAAAAATATCTATTACCCACGGAAGGGCCACTATATGCAAACTGATTTTTATTCAGATATAATCAAAAGAGCACTCCTAAGCCTGACCAGTGGTGGTAGCAAGCCTTTAATCCCAGCGCTTGGGAGGCAGAGGCAGGTAGATCTCCAAGTTTGAGGTCAGCCTGGTTTATAAGAATGAGTTTCAGGGCAGCCAGGGCTACAAAAAGGAAACCCTGTCTCAAAACACCAAAACAAAAACAACAGCAACTCCAAATAGACAAACAACATAACAACATCAAGCCCAGCAATCCTGGCCCTGAGTGGTGGTACACCCTTCAGGCCCACCCAGCATTTTGGGAGGCAGGCTGTTGTGAGTTCCAGGCCAGACAGGACTATGCAGTTCTGAGATCTTGTCTCAAACAAACAAGGCTGTCTATGGTTTTTGCCAATCAGTATGGTGAGTTTGGGCTTTCTGTAAAGAGAAACTATGCATCAAGCATTTTGTTTTGTTTTTCTGAGACAGGGGATGCTAATGTAGCCCTAGCTGAACCTGAATTTGCTACATACAATCTGTCTGCCTCTGCCTCCTTTGCACCACCCAGCTTGGCATTTTTCTGACTGCTAGACAACATGGGCACAGCGTCCTCGTTCGTCTTTGAAAAGCAAAGGTCAACGAACAAACAGAATGCTCTGGAAACAACCTGTGTTCTCTGACAAGACTAGTCTAAATAAACAGCGCTCTGCTACGGCATCCTACCTAACTTGCAAAATCACATTTGTGTACGTTGATAGGAAAAGATCGCCCAAAATTACCATAGCATCATGACACTCATCTGCCCGTCAAACAACTGTCTCTGCACTGCTCTCAGGAGGCATTTTATTTAGTTTACTTAGGAGACCTTTATAAAAAATTGCGTAACACTTCCAATGTCAAAATTCCCGTTTCTAAGGGGCAGGAATGGGCTCAGTAGAACACTGCCTAGCACTGAGCAAGGCTCAAACACACAAACTAACTAGACCCAGTTCCTAATGTCGGTGCCACAACAGCGCTGGGCGAGAGTGCTCTCTGCCTGCTCATCAGCACTTCCCCGACAGCGCAAACATCAAGCTTACGTAAGCGCTGGGCCCCGGGGGTGCGGGTGAGAGCGCCGGCTCAGGACGTCCGGCTCTGGCGGCCGATCGTGAGCGCCTGGAGAGGGATGAGGTCAGGTTTCAGCCTCACCCCCGAAGTAAGAGCCGAGCCAGTCCCTTCACGAGAAAGGCGGGGGTGGGGGAGCGGAGGCCAGAGCGAGCTGTCACTAGTGAAACGCAGATCTCGCCAGAGACCTGAGCGGGAAGGAGAGACGCACGGGAGACAGCTGCGGGGCTGTCCGCCATGGCTTTCCTCGCTGGGAAAAGCCTCGAGCAGGCTCGGGCGGGAGCCGAGGCCGGGCCTCGGTGGGTCCCCTCTCGCGGCCAACCGCCGCCGCGCAGCCCGCGGCCGGCAACGCGCGAGAAATTTCTTCTACCTCTCGGAGAAGCTCTTCACCAGCAGCCACACGATGAGCGGCAGGTTCTCGCGCTCGTTGTAGGTAGGCAGAAGGACCGAATACTTATCCTGTCGCGAGGAGCCGGCCTGCGGCGGCCGCTGAGACGCAGCATCGCGGCGACTCGCCCCCGTGGAGGCCATGACGGGTCTGCGCGAAGCACCGGAAGCGGAAGTGCGTCACCGGCGTGGAGCGTACCAAATTCTGGGGCCCGAGGGAGTCTTGGCTCTCCTAGGCCTCAATGTGGTTCTCTGGAAAGACTCCGATTCTGCGACTGTTTCAAGTCGCCTCCGAAGGTCTCCTCCGGAAACACCCGTTCGTTTCATTTCCTCAGGCTCTAGTAAGCGTCTTAGTCTTCCCCGTCGCTAAGAGATGGGTAACAGGAAGCGGAAGTCACTTCCAGGCTACTTCCGGAAGAGACTGTCATGGCCGCCCAGGAGGACGTAGCGGCGTTACAGGATGAAATTGCCCGGCGCGAGGAAGAGCTGGCTTCGCTGAAGCGGAGGCTGACTGCAGCCCTGGCGTCTGCGCCGGAGCCCGAGCGTCCGGTCCAGTTGCCACCGCTGCTGCCCAAGGCCGAGCTGTCGCGGGCCGAGATCCTCCGCTACAGCCGGCAGCTGCTGCTGCCGGAGCTGGGCGTGCGCGGTCAGCTGCGCCTGGCATCGGCTTCGGTGCTGGTGGTGGGCTGCGGCGGGCTGGGCTGCCCGCTGGCGCAGTACCTGGCGGCGGCCGGCGTGGGCCGCCTGGGGCTCGTGGACCACGACGTGGTGGAGACGAGCAACCTGGCGCGCCAGGTGCTGCACGACGAGGCGCGGGCCGGCCAGGCCAAGGCTCGCTCGGCGGCCGCCGCGCTGCGCCGCCTCAACCCGGCCGTGGAGTGCGTGGCGTACGCTCGCGCGCTCAGCGAGGCCTGGGCGCTCGAGCTGGTCCGCGCCTACGACGTGGTGGCCGACTGCTCGGACAACGTGCCCACGCGCTACCTGGTGAACGACGCGTGCGTGCTGGCCGGCCGGCCGCTGGTGTCGGCCAGCGCGCTGCGCTTCGAGGGCCAGCTGACCGTCTACCACTGCGACGGCGGGCCCTGCTACCGCTGCGTCTTCCCGCGGCCGCCCCCAGCCGAGACGGTGACCAACTGCGCCGACGGCGGCGTCCTCGGCGTGGTGCCTGGCGTACTGGGCTGCGTGCAGGCGCTCGAGGTGCTCAAGATCGCCGCCGGGCTCGGGCCGTCCTATAGCGGCAGCCTGCTGCTCTTCGACGGCCTCGGCGGCCACTTCCGCCGGATCCGGCTGCGGCATCGCCGGCCCGACTGCGCCGTGTGCGGGCAGCAGCCCACCGTGACCCGCCTGCAGGACTACGAGGCTTTCTGCGGCTCCTCGGCAACCGACAAGTGCCGGATCTTGAAGCTCCTGGACCCCGAGGAACGGATTTCCGTGACTGATTACAAGCGGCTTCTGGATTCCGGAGCGCCCCACGTGTTGCTGGACGTCCGGCCTCAAGTGGAGGTGGACATCTGTCGTCTGCCGCACGCCCTCCACATCCCTTTGAATAAGCTGGACCGGAGGGATGCCGACAGCCTGAAGCTCTTAGGGGATGCCCTCCGGGAAGGGAAGCGGAACTCGGAGGAAGGGACTGCTCTCTCTGTGTATGTGATTTGCAAACTGGGGAACGACTCCCAAAAAGCTGTGAGGGTCCTGCAGTCCTTAAAGGCAGTGCCAGAGCTAGACTCTTTAACCGTTCAGGATATTGTAGGGGGACTCATGGCCTGGGCCGCCAAAATTGATGAGTCGTTTCCACAGTACTGAGGGAGCCCCGTGCAGATCACATGGATGGTTGTGATACCTCGAGGGTCTTCAGTCATGTAGGGAAGAGCCTGGGTCCACGGCCTCGGAACAAATAGACTCTTGCAAGGAGGTTTTTGAGAAAGCAGGCTAAAATTGTTTGAGAGCTGCCTTGTGTCTGGGGCCCTTGTACAGTGTGCCTTCAGCATATAGCGTGAGGTGTGACAGGGTTTTTGTTTCTTCTCTGTTGCAATCACAATGCGCTCTGGACTATCCATTTTATACCTGGAACTAGGACACAGTTTTACTTCCTCCGAGTCCGAGTCTAATTGGATTACTCACAGATGGTACACTTGCATTCAGCTCACTAAGGTATTCTTTGGGAGGCTGGAGAAGTGACTTAGCATTGGCTGCCCCCTCCCAGAGGGGATCACTCGTGTGCTGGCTCACAACTGTCTATAGCTCCAGTCCCAAGAGGTCAGATGTCTCCTTGCCTCTTCCAGCACCAGGCAGGATCTTGGTGCACAGGCTTACATGCAGGCAAAAACACTCATAACGTTTTAAAATATATAAAAAAAAAGTTTAAAAAAGATATTTGAGTCTTATTTCTAATTAAAATGTTAGGATATGCACTGTAGACATAGATAACTACAGAGTGTTTTCATTACCTGGAATTTGGTCATTCAAGAACCTGCCATGAATATCAGAGTACAATCTTGATAGCAAAATAAAGGAAACTGATTTGTGGACCATCAGCTTCCCTTAGAAGTTGCTAGCATTTTTCTTGTACTTAGCTTCCGTGTCCACCTTAATGGCATACACATGAGACATTTGCTTAACTGCATTGTCGTTGGTATCTTCTAGTCCAAATCCCAGCCTTTGCTCCTACCCCTTTGTCTACTTTGATTCCATCCACTTTATTTCTCAATTTTTATGTAGGTGTTTTTATGTTTACAAGGTAAACAGTTTCACTAGGCCTGTTGTTGCAGGTCAGTCTATCCAGCTACTCTAGAGGCAGTGGCAGGAGGATCATAAGTTCAAGGCCTATCTGAGTTACAGAGTGTGTCCAAGGTCAGCCTGGGCACAACTGACAACTGACCGAGACCTGTCTCAAAAAGTAAAAAGGAGGTAAGAGTCAGTGGTAGCAGGCCGAAGAGTTTAGGCTTCATTTCCAGTACCACAAATAGTTTGATGAGCTGGCAGACAGTCCACACTACTTTCAGTGTGTATAGCCAGGTCAGTGTTTTTCGAGACAGTGTTTCCCTGTGTAGCCCTGACTGTCCAGTCCTCAGAAGACCAACCTAGCCTTGAACTCAGAGAGCTACCTGCCTCTGTCTCCCAAGTGCTGGGATTAAAGGCATGTACCACCACTGCCCAGCTTCTCTGCATTTTCTGGCTTTTTTTTTTTTTTTAAAGGATTAAAAACATAGCTATAAAAAAAAAAAAAGCCCTCTGCAGGCCAGAGTCACCTCTTTCAAAGCACTGATAATCTTTTTTTTCTTTCTTTAAATAAGAAAGGGATTAGTAAGAGTCAAAGCTAGGCCAGGCTTTACTTTTAGCTATGAGACACGTGCCACACTGACAACATCCCCTGAATGGCATGGTGGGCTGGAGCAGGTATATCATAACTACTCCCAGGTACCATGCACTTGCATGTCTTTGTTTCAGAGTCCTTTATTTACTTTTGACACAGGGCCTTGTTTGCTGTCCAGGTTGGCAAGTGTGTGCCCCCTTGTCAGACTTCTCTGCTATTTTGATGAACTGGTGATGGCAAGTAATTTTTTTTTAAAAGATGTCTTTGTAGGAAGGAGAACTGGCTGCTCTCCCAGAGGTCCTGAGTTCAATTCCCAGCACCTACATGGTGTCTCACAACCATCTATAATGGGATCTTATGCCCTCTTCTGGCCTGCAGCTGTACATGCAGCCAGAGCGCCCATAGACATAAAATACACAAGTATAAGCAAATCTCTTCTAAAAAATTAAGTGTTTGTAACTGCCTGGTAGACCCAAGTTCAGTTCCCAACACTCACATGGTGGCTCGCAACTGCGGGATTTAAGAGTTTATTTTGGCTCCCGTGATGACTGCACAAATGTGTGCAGACATGTTTGTAGGCAAACACTCATACAAATAAAATAAACCTAAAAAAAATAAAAAAGAAGAAATCTGCTTCTCCTTGTAGTTGGAACCTGAATGTTGACAAATTAGCCTGCAGAGGAGAAGCCTTTTTTTAAGGATGGGCAAGTGCTGGTGTGGACACAGATAAGCATGGGCCTCCATCCTGGACATGTCCAGCAGGCATCACACCGGAGAAGGTACAGAAAGCACACCAGTTGAAGACCACACACAGAAACACTCCCTGGGAATTGAACCCAGAGCTTAATGCAACTAGGCAAGCCTTCTTTCACTGAGTCCCCCTTCAAAATTGTGGTATTCCAAGCTATGGTTTCACTAAGTTGCCCAAACTTTTCACAAGTTGAGCACACTTGTCACCAGCTCCCTCTTAGACAAAGGAACTTGGGGATTCAGGAGTCCCTTTCCCCTCCCAAACCAATCCACTTTCCCAAGGAGACTGATAGGCAGTGAACCTGTAGGGAGCAGCCACAGGCTCACTCTCCAGACAGGGTCTCACCGTGTAGCTCTGGCTGGCATGGGACTTTATATGTAGACCAGCCCGGCCTTGAGATCACAGAGATCTGCCTGCCTCTGCCTCCCAGTACTGGGATTAAAAGATGTGTCATCGTGCCTTACTAACAGGTTCTTTATTATGTAACTCATGCTCCAAGGTGGAGCCACACTCATTAAGATGCATCAGACCCTTCAGAGTGTCCAGGGTCAATAACTTCTCCCTGGGCTCCTGTGTGGTCATAGCTAATCAGACTCTGAAATGGCCACTGAACCCCTGGGATTTACAGATAGGCCAATGGCTGAATGGGTCAGGGTTAGTGCGCAGTGAACTGGACAGAGATTAGCTTACATCTGGGGACTACTACTCAGTTTAGCTGCCATGACATATGGCAGGCCACAGGAGAGGCCCACAGACTACATGTCCATACCTGCTGCTCCACAGGCAAGAGGGCTTTGGAAGAATGTTCTTGAAGCCTAGGGGAAGTGAGCAAATGGGTAGAACTGCTTTTGCCTCTGGACTCTGGTTGTCCTTCCTTATTAGACTGAGCTTCAGCCTCCACGCAGCTTCCCTGAAAGTTTCCACCACCTTCTATTTCCTAGCAGCGGACTCCGAAGTCATCAATACAAACACACTTTTTGCTCTCCCAGAGCTCCAGGCACTGTAGAAGAGAGTGAGTCCTTAAATACCAGGGACAAGGCTGGGCAGTGATGGTGCATGCCTTTACTCTCAGCACTTGGGAGACAGGCAGGAGGATCACTATGAGTGGAGGCCAGCCTGATCTACAGAGCGAGTTCCAGGACAGCCACAGCTGTGCAGAGAAACCCTGCCTTGAAACCATCCCCACGACAGAAAACAACAACAACAAAAACCCAAATCAGGGACAGGGTTGCAACCAGTAGCGTAACAGGAAGGGTTTCTGCTTAAGGATTTCATTGCCAGCTAACAAATCACACAAGGATGTGCAATTTAGATGCTTATCGCTAAGCCTGATGACCCAAGTTCAGTGTGGGGTTCAATAACCTCAAACTTGCACCAAAGATAGGAAATATTTCATGGTCGGGCTACCAGGCCCTTGTGTGCCAGGGCCTATGACTCCACACAAGTGCACAGTGGGAACTGCACACCATACACATTCTGAGAGTCACAGTTCGGGGGAGGTGCCTACTGGCATTGAGGGGAGAGAGGAAGGGCTCTGATGGTGGCACTCCACACTGCCCAATACGTAGTGTGAGTAAGCTGCACAGGTCAACTGTTTCGAGACGAAAATTCTGCTTTTAATTTTTTCTTTGTTTTAATTATGTGTGTATGGTTTTTGCTATGGAGGCCAGAGGCATTGGATCCCCTGGAGCTAGGGCTGGAGATGGGATGGATGTGAGCCACCTCTGGCTGGGTGCTGGGGACCCAGTGAAAAAGACACTAAATCAGGTGGACTAAGGTGAAAATGTCCCCTTTACAATGGATTTGGGGTTGGTACCCACCTAGGCTTGGCCAGCCTTGCTAGGGCATTGTGTCCCACTTCCTCATGAGTTTGTCATCCCAGCATGTGGGCCTCTGATGCAGCACCCTCCCCTCCCATCGGCAAAGAAGGCAACACCAGCCCTCCCCGCTGGGGGGGTCTTGCACAGGTGTGTGTGTGCGTGTGCCTGTGTGTGATCTTGAGAAACCTTTCCCCAGCAGTGTTCTCCGTCGGGACTGCAAAGGCCAGAGACTAGGGTCTTCCAAGTCCTGTCACTGGGCAGCGTCCAGCCAGTGACCAGAGCATTAGGGTTGGGTGTTGGGGTTACTGTACAGTTCCCACCTCTTAGGGTTGTTAGAGACACCCCAGGATCCCTTGTTATGTTTCCGATACACAATGCTGGCACACATAAATAACCTGCCTCGAAGTTTTCCTTTCGGACTAGTGGGAGGGCTCAGCAGGTAAGGTGTTTGTCACCAAGCCTGACAACCTGAGTTCCATCTCTAGGACCCACAAGATGGAAGGAAAGAACTGACTCCCACAAGCCATCCTCTGACCTCTACACACGCATAGTGGCATGAGAATGCTTTCACGTGCATTGGCACGGACACAGACATACACATATGTAAATAAATAATGAGACCGGAGAGGTGGCTGTTCTTCAAGAGGTCCTGAGTTCAAGTCCCAGTACCAACATGGCAGCTCACAACTGTCAATAGCTAGTTCCATGGGATCCAATGGCTTCTGGTGTGCAGGCAGAAAACCCATACACATAAAATACATAAATCCTAAAATAAATTAACAAATGTAAACAGCATTATGATTGTCTACATTGACTTCCAGTGAGTCTGACAGGATGTCCAGATGGGAGACCACTGCTTTAAGAAAGTGTCTTGTAGCACCTTCTCTGCTAAAGTCAAGGCAGGGACCTGAAGGCAGGCCTGTTTGCCATTTCATACATTTCATACCTTTGGCCAAGGAAACTCACTTTCCAGCCAGAGAAGGAAAGCAGGGACCATGAAGGATGCTTCTTGGGCTCCTTTTCAGCCCCGGGGTTATAGACAACCCACAGCAGGGACAGCTTTTCACAAGGTTGCTGTGGTATTAACTCAAGTCCTCATGCTTGACCAACAGGCACTTTCTTTTCCTCAGGGAGCCACCTCCCTAGACCCTTGTTTTGGCTTCTTTGAAACAATGTCACACTGTGTAGCCAAGACTGCTCTGGGACTCACAATGTAACCCAGCCTCGCCTCAAGCTTGCAAAATTCCTGCTGCCTTAGCCCTGGGAGCACCGGGATTGACTAGTGTGCCCACCATGTTAGACCATGTTGGTGTTTCTTGCACCTCCTGAAGTGACTCAGCCCTGGGCTGGAGAAGCATGCGCTCATCAAGACAAAGGCTACTCACTTTCCTGTTTTGAAAATGAATTGCCTGTTATTTTTCCCACCTCAGTTTACACTGAGCTTTGTTGTTCTGTGGCTCTTCAGAGGTTTGGGAATGAGATTAAATAAACTCCCACAGGAAAAACCAGCAATAAATCCAGGTTCCAATAGGAAGTCTTTATCATAGTTCCTGGGTCAAGTTCATGTCCAAGGGCTGCCTTGTACTTTGAAAGTGCAAGTGCATTGAAGTCCCAAAGGGTAAAAGGCTGAGCACAAATGTCCTTGCCCTGTGAGTTCTAAGATAAAAGCAGCGGAGTCCAGATTCATCTTCCCTAGCTGATTATCCTGTCCAGTTCTGGCGGTGTGGGGTCACGGTGCCAGGCAGAGGGAAAATCTCACAGCAGCAGCCCAGGCTGACTCTCTCAAAGAACAGCGTCAGCATCTTAAAGGGCAAGCGAGCCTATGGGACCTCCAAAGGGTGAAAGAATGGAAGCGCAATCAAGGCCGCCTCCCTGCCCATCGTACTACCCAAGGGCGCCTTCTCCAGCCACAAGCAGGAGCCTGAGCAAAACCGTGCTTTCACCACCTGCTTCTTGTAGAACCCAGACCCACACTCAGCGTTGTTAAAACAGCAAAAAGCCAGGTATGGGGCCCACACCTGCGACCCACAAAGGCAGGGGGATGACTGCAAGTCCCAGGCCAGCCTGGGGTAAATAACCAAACTGTCAAAAGCCCAAAACATGGATCTGGGGAAGATGGCTCAGTTTGGTGAAGCGCTTGTCTTGTGCAAGAGCCTGAGCTTGATTCCCAGAACACAGATTAAAAATAGAGGCAGGGGTGGTGGTGGTGGTGGTGGTGGTGGTGGTGGTGGTGGTGGTGGTGGTGGTGGTGGTGGTGGTGGTGGTGGTGGTGGTGGTGGTGGTGGTGTTTGGTTTTTCAAGTTAGGGTTGCTTTGTGTAACAATCCTAGCTGTCCTGGAACTCGCTCTTGAAGACCAGGCTGGCCTCAGACTCACAGAGATCTGCCTGCCTCTGCCTCTCGAATGCTGGGATTGAAGGTGTGTGCCACCACTGGGTGGTGGTGTGTGTTTGTAATTCAAGTGCAGGGAGCCAGATCCCTTGGGCTCACTGGTCAACTAAACTCATCTACTTGGCAAAATCCAGGTCAGTAAAAGACCCTGCTTTAAAAAAAAAAAAAAAAGGAGGGGAGGAAAGGAAGGAAGGAGGAAGGAAGGAAGGAAGGAAGGAAGGACAGAAGGAAGGAAGGAAGGGAAAAATAAAACCTAAGGAAATGATGATCGCTCTTGAGGAATGATACTTGAGGCTGTCCTCTGGCTTGTGCACATGAGTGTGCATGCTCAAACACACACATGTACATAACACTAATGTGCACACTCTTTTCTTTTCTTTTCTTTCTTGAGGCCCATTTTCTTTCAAACCACCACAGCTTTGCCAAGAAGCAAGCAGTCTGTGTCCAGCATCTACACACACACACATGATAACCTTGAAAATATAAGTCTGGCTGGAACAGAACCAAGATTTTGGGCTCTCACGCTGTAGGTCACCACAGTGGCTGCTTACCTATGCCCTTGCAGTGTGCCAGTGATCATGAGAAATCCCTAGACAGAGGACATGGCCACGTAACAAATCAAGGTTGGGATGTACTGTGGTAATGGGTCTCACCAAAATACGACTTTTGACCTTGGGCATTCATTGTTGCTCCTGAAGAAAGTAAAAATCTATATGTTTGCATATTCCTTTCTCAGAAAACAGTGGCCCAGAAGTTTCCATCTGGGGGCAAAGTTTTAAAATATGAAGGTCTTCCCAGGCATGGGGGTGCACACCTTTAATCTCAGAACTCAGAAGACAGAGGCAGATGATTGTGAAATCAAGGCCATCTTAGTCTACAGAGTGAGTTTCAGGACAGCCAAGGTTATGTAGAGAGCCCTGACTCAAAACAGCAAAAATAAAATAAAACATTAGGGTCTTTAAAAAGTGTTTTGATCATTTCTGGCATTTGAGGGAAGGAACTTGGTTGAAATCTGAAGGAACTACATGTACAGAATGAGAGACACTGGCTCCACAGCAAACCCTGACAGCAATGTCTCCTGGAAGCTGTGACCGCTGGGACAAAAGAAACTCTGGCCTCCTTGTTCAAGGTACACAGGTCACAGGAGGAGTGCTGTGTACTCACTTCCTTTTCATGATGCAGAGATGCAGCAGCTTCTCTGAGCTCCAGACTCCAGCTGGCAGCTGGATCTAAGCAGAGTCC